GTGTCCACTCCATTGCAAACTCTTTTCTCCGATCTTGCTTATTTGGTATTGCCTGGAGGTTCTTGCAATCAGTGACGTTTATTACGGTTCTTCACACCATTGCATTTCAGTTGTGACTCATGTAAGAATGACAACCACAAAATCATTTTCATGGCTTTATTAGCCTCTCAATTGAAAGCGATTAAACGACTGTGATGCTAAATTTGCAAATAAAACTGCGAGGATTTGGTTCCACCTTTAAATGGGTGGCTGTGATTATATCCAAATTTCTGATCTGATATTCACATCACTTTTTCTGAACATTTTTCTCCAATTTACCGAATAAACCAAAAATTTTTTAAATCTGGCGCTTGGCGTGCTATTTGCCCAGGTACATTGTGACCTTTGGTTAAACAACCCGAATAAGGCAACACCTGAGAACGAAATGGCAGTATCGTTCAAAGCATTTGCACACTTGCCAAATGCGGTGCTACTAGAGAAGCCAAACAATGAAAATTTAATTTCGGAAGATTCCACGCCTATTTTATGGAAATAGGTTATGAACTCTATCATCCACATCAAAATGCATTTCTGGTGGTGCTGATGGGCCCTGCAATGGCTCATGAGATACCTTTTAAGCTGAATGAGAGCAGTCTCAGACCTTTGGAGCAGTAATATTACAAATAACTCAGTCTTTTATCAGCTAAAGCGCACAGCTAAAATGATGATTACGGTGTATATGAATGCTCAAAAAAATACACCTCACAATATTAGGCAAAGCAAATTTATGAGTAAAACCGGTGAGCTTTTCGATATCACCCCTAAATGAATCCTCGAATCTGCCTTGTAGTTTAGTGAAACCTCCTTTCATCACTTCCTAATATGAATGTTCTTGTTCTTTAGTGTCACTTTTGTTTACAAAAAGTTGCACCCTCAGTTATCATACACAATTAACACCTTTCCGGTTGGCACGACTTCATAAACACATCGAATATGGAGTACACTGACTTGAACTATAGCCTCTTGCGCCTAACATCGGAGGAGAAGCGTAGCAAAGATCTTGATGCCAGCAGAACATTTATCTTTTTTCCTTAAGCACCAGTACTTCATTCACAGGGCCATGGAACTTACTATTAGCCTACTACTTGTGTGAAAATCTGTTTGTTATATGAATACTCCAACAGAGCATAGAAATATCTTCAGCCCTTGTCGAGTAGATTGTTGTCGCTCACAAAATCATGAAAGTTGGATAGCGAAAGCCAACTTAACATGCAAAATTGCAAATATTCGCTCCTAAACTTATCGCTCCGATAAATTATGAAACAAGCCAAAACCTAGATTAAGTAATTTTTTGCGCCCCATACAGACTCTACTGGGCCCAGTGGGAAACTCCCTACGAC